GTAACTTCCTTCTGCTGCTGAGAGCGTTTACCAGTTTGCGGATCCTGTGCAGCACCAGCGTCCGATGGATCTCTTTGGCCGACTGTGTAAGTGTCCCAACGGGCGTAGTTGTTGGCAGCATCCTCGCTTGGCGGTTGATGCAGCTGCTCAGGGTGGAAGAGCTGGCGGTAGGGGTCCCCAGTGCGCGACCTCATTCAACGAGCGAGCAAAAACAGACGCATGTTGGTCGATCAGTGGTGTGGTTGTTATAGTTAGTTCGGATATTTAACTTTTACTTTTGACTGAATGATAATGTTCGAGCTAGAGATAGTTACACTCACGCCAATGGACGGCTGGGTCGAAGGTCCACAAAGAACAAGCCTTGACGGTGCTTTCCGGCTCCAGGTATTCCACTGAAGAAAGGGTGGTTGAAGGAAGTCGTCTCCGTGCTCGATCGTGCTGTGTCACTGGGCATCTGTCCATCCGGCTGGGATCGCCCATGTTCCGACAGTAAAGCTGCCCAGCAGGCGATTGCCGATCGTGGACACAGCGCTGTAGCCAACGTGGATAGAGATACACTCACGCTGTGGGAATAAAAACAAAAACAGAGAAGTTATTTACCTGTATGCATTAGACAAGTCATACTGTTAAAGAAATATATATATATATTTTATACACTTTTATAGTCATAATACTTCCATGTATGAATCAAACCGCCTCATTCTGAGTTGTACCTGGTTAAAAAATGGCCTTTTAGACTGACTGGCTACAGAACTGTAACGTTATTAGCGACACCCAATCAGCAGCAGTCCGGTAACGGTCGACTGACAGACCCGACTTTACTCTGAGCGCGCCGCATTGTGTCTGGAACTACGTTGCTATGCGACAAGCCCTTCACTCTGGCAGCGGGTGACGTGAGTTCGAATTCGTGCGAAACCGTTAAAAAAAAAAGAAAAAAAAAAGAGAACGTTCACCTTAGAACGCGCGTCACAGAGAATGCAAAGTAACGCGTGAGTTCTGACAACAGAACGTTCAGCTGTTCTCTGTGAGCAGCGGCTCGGCAGTGTCCGTTACCGGCGTGAATATTTAATGCCTTGCGCCATGCTGACAGCGCATTTCATCCATTTGCCCCCACGGGTAGGGTTTCTCTGGGTGTGGGACGTTTTGGAGACGGGTACCGCTTCTGCGCATCCTCCCTGCCAGTACACCGAATTAACGTTACAGGGCAGCGCTGTCACGAGCTCAGCCGTTAGCCGAGGGAGAGAAATCAAATACCGCAACAGACGGCGTTAACGTTATTCATTCCGCCCACAGCGCAATCTGCTGAACACCTCTTTTGTTCACCCTGCCTGCCACGTAACTTCCCACTCAGCACCGCCGGAACATGAGCCAACACCGAACCTCACATTAAAACATTCACAATGAAACTTTTACATGTTTTAAACGACCAAAGTGACACTTTAACGCTTTATAATCCCTCAACACTCTCATTCCTGTTTTTACATTAATGCTCTCTCGCCCCTCTCCTCCTCCTCCTCCTCTTCATCCCCATCCTCACAACTCCCATCCTTACACACTGGACCTCAAATATGACTATTTAAGTTTAGAAAAAGTTTTTTTTTTTTTTTTTTACCATGTTGTTATGCTGAAGTCTCGGCAGACGGTTGAAGAAACTCCTTCACAGAGAGTCTTACAGTTCGACAGTTATGGGGTCGTTGTAAGAGATAATGGCGCACATGAGGATGGACAGCGGTATATATGCAAGTGCAGCGCTGGCGCCGGTGCCTGCTCCACCGCTATTGGTCCATCCTCCTGTCGGTCTGACGTTTGCAGCCGTCCTCGGCTTTCTATTGGATGAGCGCCTCTGTCGCCACAAGGACCACCTCCTAGACCCCACCCGTATCCCGTCATCCTCCAGTTACTGTGCTGTAAGCATGGCGCCTCTTATTGTGTGGGAAATGCTGCGTAATTTTCAGCACGCTGGCAGCAGACAGGCCCAGTCTGCCATACGGAAAAAAAAGTTTGCATGAATTTCTGCATTAAAGACTAATGAATCCAAGCTGGATAACACATTAAACTGCTTGTAATAGAACATAATAGAGATTAATAGACTCGAGTATAGTGTGAAATTTGAGAATACAGCAGCGTTAACCATAATCATATTGATTATATCTTTGATCTGAGTAGGCCTCATGCATAATACACATGATTGAAGTCTGAACACCTGCCAGTACAAAATCAATAAGACAATCAGTCAACTCATCTGCCCCCCAAATTCTGGCACTAATTAGCCAACATTTCAAATATGGATGATTCCACACTGCTGAGTTATACAGAAACTTCCCGAAAGACTGGGATGCTTTTATAATGTGAAATGTGGATCTGAAGACAAAATCAAGAAAGTAGTTTAAAGCTTGTTTTCAGGTAGATTCTGTTATATTCTTGGTGCATCAAACAGTTTGTCAAGCGTTCTACATATTATTTAAAAATATCTTTGTTCACATTATTATTATTATTGAGCAGAAGTAGTTTGAAGCCTGTTTCTAGGTAGATTATCTTACATTAATTATATTTTTGGTCCTCTATCCTCCTGTGATACTTGTTATACATCATACGGTTTGTCAAGCATTCTATATTCTATCTATTCTTTATTTTTTTTAACCTTTGCTTACACGATGGCTGTGGATGTTATTGATCAGAAACAGCACTTGACTTTTAATATCCTGATTTTATTCTCAAGTCTGTCTGAGATAAAAGAGGTCAAGCTGTCCAGTCATAGATGAAGGACATGTAGGCTGTGAGAGCCACAGACGCCCAACCCCCAGGCCCCCCTCCCAAGATTTCCCCGTTGCTAGGAAATGAATAACGGAGTTGCCTGGATACAGCCCAGTATCCACACAGACCGCCTTTATCTGGCGGTCACATGACCCGGCTTAAATGGCAGCATTAACAGGCTGCAGTGCAGCTGCCTCTCTGGGGGATGTGAGTACGCCTCAGCCACCTCTTTTCCAAAAAAAAACCCTTTCACACTGATGTCCTGTGCCTGTAAGGAAATACACTTGCTCTCTCACCTTCAACTGAACGTGTCCTCCTCTTATAAAACTGCTGACTTAATAGGATAAGAAAATGTCCTGTCAGGATGGTGGGGTGTGGCCTCTGCGGCACTAGATGCATGGCGTCAATGTGGGTCAGCGCTTTTGTCCTCACAATTCATCAAAGCAGCTGTTGTTCTCATAAAAGCTCATTCTTTCTGGAGACAGTGATGTTACTGGACCCATGTAGCAGCTCTGTTGGTGTCTGTATTAAAGTCAAGTCATCTTTCAATGACAAAGGCCATAGATTGTTCTACACTGGTCCTAAAGCGCAGCCCAGCAAACTAAAGGACAGTTAAGACACTTGGTTGCTACCAACAAAAGAAACTCTACGACAACAGTCGTCCCAGAGGAAGAAACGATACTTCGCTGAATGTGGAGCTGCTTAAAATAACCCAGATTTTGAAATGCAAAGTTAAGAGGAAGGAATGACGGTTCATAGTTAGCACATTATTCCCTCTGTTCAGTGAATCACACCATCAAATCAACAACATGTCTACCTGTCTTTATACAGTCAATGTCATTGTGCTTTCCCCAGTACTGTTCTGATATCTGAAGCCTATTCACTATGAGAGTCAATATCACTATGAAGTGCCTTTGGTGTCCTCATCAGAATCACTCAGTCATCATTAAAATGTAGCAGAATAATGAAACTCTGAGGTCTTATTATAAATGGCCAAACATTTACACACATATCAGTACAATGATAAGTCTCTTGAAATGTGTTTCCTTCATTTTATACCATTTTTTTTTCATTGGATGATTGATTTTGGTATGTCCCACACACTGCTCTGCTAACTACAGTGTCTGGAATAAGTGGTTAAATGATACTAAATCAAAAAATGTGTCCACAACAAGTTATTTGAGAAAACGAGTCATTTTGATAATGTATTCTATTTTCATAATCATATTGAACATTTTGCATGTGTCCCTGAAATTGCTGTCCACCCTGTCATTATGGGGTAACTGCCCCTTTAAGAACCCCTCTGGTTCTTAAAGTCTGGTTCTGACTGGTGGTAGTCATGACTCATTTTAAAGGTTTTAAAGGAGATTAATGCCACATATACTGCATGAGAAAGACGGCACTGCCCAATTTAAAGAACCAGTCTGTGAAATTTAGTGAAATTTAGTGGCATCTAGTGGTGAAGTTTCAGACTGCAGCTCACTGAACACTGCTCGCTCCTGTATTTGACGACCTGGGAATGAGAACAGGCTGGGAAGTGAGGCCCAGTCAACAGCCAGCGTTTGGTTTGTCTGTTCTGGGCTACAGTAAAAACATGGCGGACTCATGGGCAACCACAGCCTCTGTAGATAATAACGTCTCATTCTAAGGTAACAAAAACACAATTATTCTTATATTCAGGTGATTATACACTAATGAAAACATACCAATCAATATTATATTAAATTTCTTAAAATAAATCCTCCTAAATGTCATTTATGTCTCCTCCTCATTTGCTTCTTTTATCTTCAGTTCTGTTGGTTGATAATGTGCTATTTCCTTTTCTCTCTATCTTCTTTTGTGTTCATTTCCTTGTGCCATTATACACGATACATGATACAATACTCTCTGATCAATTGTCACATCTATATCTATCAATAAATTATTATTCATTATCTATTACATGTATGTGTGTTCATATCTGTATGTTCGTGTTCTAGCAGCTGTAGTTTAGCTTTTTAGAACTTTCGAATACAAGTCTGAGTAGCTAAACTCTTTTTAAATGACAGTCATTTTATTTGTCATTATACCTTCATGTCAATCATAATTTATTACGTTTCATTAACAGCTTTCTTTTTGATTTGAGGAACC